TACCAACTTCTTTTAGTTATTGTGGGTGTAGCAAAGAAGCATGATGGCGTGGATGATTTCTTTGAGCAACTTTCTTTGGTGGTTAATGTAAAAGACAAGACATGCTATGGGAAAGTCAAAGAGAAAGGGTGCAATTGTCAATTGGAAATGGTGAACTTGAATTTGGAAGAGGGTTAAATCAAGAGAACTCGCTTATTCGAGCGGGAGATACAAGATGGGGTTCACATTTCAAAACCATCACAAGCATAAGATAAACCAGAATAACAATATACCTGGATACCGATCTCACATATCACTACAACATACAAGCATAAGATAAACCAAGATAACAATCCTAAGGGTCGGCCTTGGTGCCTTCGACCCATAAGTACAGTGAGTAAAACTCACCTCGAATGTAGAAGCTCCTCGAAAGAAATCCCCAGATGTTGCCCTGCCGGCTTCCCGAGCTATCAATACCAACAACACACCAAATTAGCAATTGGGTTCCACGCCATAATCCATAATCCATACTTGGGATAAAATGACCATTTTACCCCTGACCCAACATACACCAAAACTGAGGCCCAAAACCAAGAGATCCATAAAGGCCCAATAATGGCCCAATTTTTTAAATTTGGCCCAACCCCATATGGGTCTTATCCTAAGCCCATATTTTCTTAAAATCCAAATAAAGTTATCACACACACTCCTCGCGACAAACTTGGTCAAAGATATAAATCAAAGTCAAAGTCAATGGTCCAAGTTGACCCAACTCGTCGAGTTTTTCCATCAATCTGCATAGATCAGGAAAACCCAAGTCAACTCACCAAGTTGACCCACCAGCTCGCCGAGTTCCTCTATCAATCTGAAAATGTCGGGAAAAACCAAGCCAACTCGCCGAGTTTGTCCAACAAACTCGTCGAGTTCGCTAGCAACCACCTCTAAACACATAAGCACTCAATCTATGACTCCAAAACATAGATCTGACTTCCTTGAGCGGGAAAACCATGTAAAGTTGCCTATTTTACGCTCATGCATGTCTAAATGAAGGTCTTATGCTTGGAATGGATTTAAATGGACTTAATAATTGACTTAATGCATGCATGACACCAAAATTCTTGTAAAGTTTGCACCTTTAAGTTCAAGGGTACCAAAACCAACCCAAATCTGAAAGAACAACCCCCAAAAGACTTTACTCCATTATCATCCCCAAAAAGAGACCAAAATACTACAAAACCCAAAATAAGGAGATCTAATCAACTATTAAGAAAGGTTAGGACTTTATACCCGAAATGTGTTGGAAATGGAGCAAAGAACCCAGATCTGAAAAATCCTACTCGAACCACCACTTTGTACCAAGATTTTCTTCCTTTAATGATCTTTAAACAGACCAAAATACGCCCACCATGAACTCAAAACACTCAAGAAGGCTCTAGGGTTTCGAGATTAGAGTTAAGGGTTGTGGAGGCTGGAAATTAGGCCAACACCTAAGACTTAAGGTGTTTAAATAGGGTGTAACACCCTAAAATTAAGGTTTCCTTCTGAGTGGCCAACTTCCCGAGTTGAGGCTCCTCAACTTGTCGGGTTGCCTCATTAAACTTCGCAGTCAATCCAGCTTCTACTCGCCGAGTTGAGGCTCCTTAAATTGTCAAGTAGACCCATTAAATCCCCACGATTCTTCATCTTCAAATCGTCGAGTTGGCTCCTCCAACTCACCAAGTTCAACTTGAAATTGGCATAATTGCACTATTAACCTTCTAGATTCTGGGTGTTACAATGGTGGTGGTGACTGAGAAATTAAAACGAGTGCCTTTTGTCTAAAGTATTTACTAGTATTCATGATCTAAGCAATCAACCAGCCACTTACCTTGTTAGCAAGAGTGTAGTGGGGGTTTAGACTAATATCGCAAAATCAATCAAAAGTCTAGATTGTCATAACATAGATCTGGACAAGATATTTTCCTTGGTTCCAAATCATAACTCTAGAATCCTTCTTTTTAATGAAAAACGTTGTGGGAGAGTTACATTGCAAATCGGATTCCTTTATCTTTATGAGTTGGAATCAGTAAAGAAATGACAGCTTATGGATCGTCTTTATAGTGCCGGTTTCTCCTGGCAATGGAGATCCAATCCATTTGATGATGTTGCGAGAACATAATTACATTACTTTTATTCCATGTTCTGATCTATGGTTTTCCCTCCTCCCCTCAAACATTGGATTCCGGTTCAACTTAAACTCAAAGGACATGTATTTAGTGGGTATTCTAAGGAAGTTGGTGACTCAAAACTCAATCAAGTTGTGGGACAAAAAATTTGGTGGTCAAAACTTATTACCCTAAGTGAAATGTTTTGTGTGGAGGATTGCAATAGATAGGATTCTTTTTGCTCATCCGCTTAGCCTCAAGGGTATTTTAGTCCAAATTCCAAATTGTCAATTATGTGGGATAAATAATAAATCTTCAAATCGCCTTCCGGAAAAATGTGGCTTTTCCAAGGAGGTATGGTATTGGATTTTAAAATGGTACTAACTTAGCAAAGTTCAATTTTGTACAATGCATCAGTTTATCGATTTTTTTGCTTCATGGGGGAATTGTCCTAAGAAGGGATATTCGTAACATGATATTTTACTCCATTCTATGAAACATTTAGTTAGCAAGAAATAACAAAACTTCCAGCTTGGTGCTTCCCCGACTAAAATTGCGGACTATAACCTACAAACATATGAATGGATCAAGAACACGTGGAATTGGATGGTAGATTGGTGGAATGGAGATGCTCCTGTAATTTGCTATCGTGTGTTTTGTTCAATGTTTTAAAACCCGAGTTTTTAGTTGACCATGTATGATGACCGGTTCACGGGTCAACCGGTTGAACCGCCAGGTCAACCCGGTTTATGGTCTTTCTCTATTTTTATATATTTTTATTTTTCTGTATAATGCATACACATATAAAATCAATAATTTGATGTCCACAAAGTTTAAATATTGAAAAATATTGAAGAAACCGCAAACGGCTCGTTGTTTTGGCATTCGCTATTCTATCCAACTATCAAAGCCTTATTAAAACGGTTCAATCCGGTTTTAACTGGTTCAACATAAGCGGTCGAACCGCGATTTAGGGAAAACCTGGCCGGTTCGATCCGGTCCGTATTTTTACAAAAAAACCGTTCTCAATTGACCCGCTTTCTACCCCGGTCACGATCCAACCGGTTGAACCGGCCGGATCAACCTGGGTTTTAAAACATTGGTTTTGTTTTTGTAATTTCCACCCATCGTATTGTAATTTCCACCCATCATAGCTTCTTGTTGTGGCTTTGGGCCTTTTTATATAATTTCTTTGCTGTTTTCAAATGAATAAATAAATAAATAAAAAGACACTATTAAGCACGTGTATACACCATAGTAGTGGTGTTAGGCTCTAGCTTATCCTAATATCTTTAAAACAATATATGAATATCTCGATTCTCACTACTCACAAAGTCTCGGCTAGTCATTTACAAGTCCGAGTCTTCACATGTAAAGCCAAATCTATTATCAATGTTATCAAACAAACTTTATCCATAGCTATTGACATGATTTACTATACAAATTAACTTTTTTTAGAACAATAACTTTATTCCAAAAAAAAGTACAAATTAATAAATAAATACACCAAAATCAAATCTAACAAAGACCCGGGCCAAGGCTCCATAAGACAAAATTTGTCGAAATCATGTTAGTAGGCCCATCCATCATCATACCCAACACGTTTCATTTTCAAGGCACTTGTGTATATCGTACTAGTGGCTTTTATCCAAAAACCATCATATCCATCGTTTTTCATTCACATGGGCTGCAATATGGAAAAAAATTTAAAACATTTCTTCGGTATTTTAATTAAATATAACAATGGTGTTATACTAAAATCATAAAACGACTGAAATATGCTCGTTGTATCCAAAATATGTGATGAAAAAACATTAATTTTTGTATGAACAAGAAGTCATTTTGAAATATGTGTGCTTTTGATCATGGTTTTGATGTTTTTAACTATTTATGATTAGGCCAACTTGATAACGATCGAAGATACAGATTTATAAAGACCTTCATGTTTATTTAAAACACTTTTATATTATAAAAAAATAATGACAATATTAGAAAACAAAGAGTGGTTTTAATTGAATTTCGCTGTTCAAAAAATAATAGTAATTTAGATTTTACAATTTTATGTTTTGGTAAAATTATCAGTCCCACTACAAACTACGATCATATTTATTTTATAAGTTTGACTTAAATGTTTATACTCATCTACGTGATTTTATGTTTTTTCATGTTCCGTTTAGTATTTTAACCAACATAAACAAACAAATACAAAAATAATAATTTATTAAACAAACAATCATAAATAATAAAATTCCTACATTTATTTGTTCCTGTTAAGTTAACTTACCATAAACAACCACCCGTTGGTTGTTATTTATAGGATTTTCTAATATTTATCTTAAAAATACATTACTTACAAAAAATATAATCATAATTAAATATAAAATTTATTAATAATTATTCATAATTAATGTATTTTAATTCGTAATATTTTTCATAATTAATATTTTTTTATAATTAATACTTCTTATATACTATTATCTTATATATTAGAAAATCATTTCATTCATTGACAGCTTTAATATATTCACATTAGCCCTTGATGTTTCCAGCCATCTACTTGGCTACCCTTTCATTCTAGCTTCTTTCCACCTTCATCCCTACCACAACTCAGTTCCTTTTTTTTTTTTTATAAGTAATTTTTACATAAACAAACATAACAACTTATAATTTTTAATGACAAGATTGGGAACAATATTTTTCTCTTATATATTCAACAATACATTTCCAAAAAGTCTATAGGTACCAAACATATATAGTATTTGTGTATGAACCCAGACCACAAATTCTAATAGTACAAATCCGTTGACATCGGTTGACCATCAATCTAGAAACTAAAAAGAAAAAAGAAAAAACTTCCGGCAATTACTTCCGACGACGTTACAAAACCAAGTGCTGGGAAACCACCGGAGAAGATAGGTTTCCGGCGGGATGAACTTTCCGGTCCGGCAACTTCTTCTTCTGATTGGAGTAGTCGGCGGTAGGTGTCGCCGGCGGAAAATCTTGTGTTAAGTTCTTCATTTTCTTCTTGAGACGCTGCTGTTGCAGGTTTATGTGAGCATAACTGAATCCAACGGAAGACATTGGTGATTGACTGATTGTGGGTGGGAAATCGCAAATGTTGAGTGGTCTTTTTATAGGGGAAATTTGAAAGCTACTGGTTTGTGTCTACAAGAGGAATCAACGGGCGGACAATAGTTAAGTAAATACTCAATTATTGGTCTTGTTTAAAAAATAAATAATAATATAAAAACTTTTAATAGATATTTTTGAAATAAAAATTAATCATAACAATAATATAATAACTTTTAATGAATGTTTTTGAAGTAAAATTATGCAATAAAAATCAATCGTAGAGCATCTGAATGTAAGAATTTTTATTTATTTTTTTTTATTTTTACTTTTGACTTTACACCACTAGATAACGTTGAAATGTGTAAATTTATTTTTACTCACAAATTATCTTTTAAAGTTTCTATATTTAACCAATTGTGGTAACGATAATAATTCTCATTCGCCCTCATCTCATTCGTTAATTAGTATAAATACAAAATACATAAAGTAAAAGAGGACCGAGCCTAATACATACAAAATACAATAAGCCTCACAAGACTAAATACATCACAAGACTAAATACATCATACACATAAACGGTCCTCCGTAGTTGGAACGTTTGTCTGATCACGAGTATTCAAACTGGGCCGAAATTCAAGAAAATATCCGCATACTGAGATAATGAAGGAGCATGTAAAACCCGAAATTGACCAATGACAACTTTGTCTCGATGAAAATGAATGTCAATCTCAATGTGTTCAGTCTGATCCTTTGATGTTGAACTGGATTGGTAGATAGATAAACAGCACTAACTTTACCGTAATAAACAATAGTGGCACGAGAAGGAGGGTGATGAACTTCCCAAAGGAGATTCCGAACACAACATGTTTCAACAACCCCATTGGCAACCCTCATGTATTCAGCTTCAAGCTTCAACGCTTGATCGAGACATTGTGCCCTAACGTTTAAATGACCAAGAAATAAGATTTTGTCCCAAAAAGACATAGTATCCAGATGTGGAGTACCTGGATGAGGGACAACCAACCCAATCAGCATCTGAATATGAAATGAGACCACGGGCATGAGAGATGTATAATTGTGGCCCATGATCAATTGAGCCTCAGATATATCTTAGGATTCGTTGTAGGGTTGAGAAGTGGGGCTCCCAGGGGTAATGCATGAACAGACAAAATTGATGAACATCATAATCAATGTGTGGTCTCGTAAAAATTAGGTACCGAAGAGAACATGCAAGGCTTCTATACAAAGTAGGATCAGCAACTAAAGGGCCAGATGGACCAAGCTTAGCGGATTTATCAACAGGAGTGCGAGAGGCTTTTCAACTCATTATGTTGGCCCGTTCTAAAACTTATAAGGCATATTTCCGTTGAGATAGAAACATACCTTATTAATCTCAAGTAACTTTAACACCAAATAAAAAAATTAAGATCATCAAGATCAGTCATAGAAAACTCTTTGCTCAAAGTGGTAAGAGCCTACTAAAGAAGGTCCTAAGAGCAAGTAGTCAAAATAATTTCGTCCACATATAATAAAAGATACGTAGTGTGAAAGCCCTGACAATATATGAATAAGGATGAGTCACATCGACTGTTGGAGAAGTCAGTCCTACAAACAAATAGAGCAAAACGATGAAAACATGCCCGTACAGCCTGTTTAAGACCATATAAAGAGCGATGTAATAAACAAATATGATCATGGTGTCAAGGATCTTGAAATGCAGGAGGATGGTACATAAATACAGTCTCATTAAGATCACCATGATAAAAATGCATTGTTTACACCAAGCTGGCTAATATGCTAGTGTTGAAAAACCGAATGAGAAAGGACAGTACGAATAATGGTGTATTTGACCACCAGACTGAAAGTCTCACCACAATCGATGTTAGGCCGCTAAATATAATTGTTAGACACAAGCCTTTCTTTGTAGCGAGCTAGAGAGCCATTTGTGTGTTCTTTCTTCTCGAATAACCAAATGCAGTTAATAATATTTGGACCGACAAGACAGGTGCGCGCGCGCGGGGGAGGGGGGGGGGGAACCCACATTTCATTTGAGACAAAAGCAATAAATTCATCCTTCATGTAATTAAGCCAATTGGGATCTTTAAACGCTTGTGAGTAATTACAGGGCACGGGGTAGGAAGTCTCAACATGATGATTAAGTTTGCGCATAGGTTTAACAATATTGTAACGTAAGCGAGTACCCATCGGGTGACCCAAAACAATAGGAGATGGAGATAGGAGATCTGTTGACAGGCCAATATTGGCAAGATGAATTTAAGTACTAGAGGCAGAACTAGTATCAGACACAGATTAAGATATGTTAGTTTTGTTGAGGTGTTAGCTTAGGATTTCGAGATTGCCTCCTCGATAGTTTGAGTGGCAACGGGTATTACAAGAGTCTAACGAAATTGTTGAGACTGATGGTTGGTTTCATCAATAATGTCAAGAAACTCATAAGAAGGGGCAAATTTTGGAGTCTTATATCCAAACAAAAAAATAGATTTGTCAAAAGTAACATGATGATACAGAGTAATTTGTTGAGTTTCAGGATTCAGGCATCAGTACCCATAGTGTTGAGATAGGTAACCAAAAACACACACATAGTAGATTTGGGATAATTTATTTAAGGTGTGGATATGTGAGGATAAAAGAGACAACAAAACACATGTAAATGAGAGTATGAAGGGGTTTTATTGAATAATTTTTTTAAAATGAGATTGATTGTTAACAGTGGTAGAAGGAAGAATATTGAAGAGTTGGGTAGCCATGTGTAGGGCTTCTACCCAATATGTGGGAGGAAGGTGAGCAAGACACACAAGAGTATCAATCATGTTAGTAATGGTTCTAAGAATTCTCTTGTATTTTTCATTTTGTTGAGATGTACATGGGAAATAAAATCGCATTTGAATGCGATGAAGATTACATAGGTCATAGAATTGACTATTATTGAATCCCCCCCCCCCTATCGTAGTGGAACGATGTGATATTTGAACTGAAATGATTTTTGACATATTTTTTTAAAATGTAGAAATTTAGTAAACATATCATATTTATATCTCAAGGGCTCCCATACAAATTGAGTAAAACTATCTAGAAAAATGACATAATATTTTATTCCAAAGATACTAGCAATATGGGATGTCCAAATATTATAATGAATTAATTGAAAAGGACTATAAGAAGAAGAATCCGACAAACCAAAAGGTAGCCTAGTATGCTTTCCAAGTTAACATGCATGACATAAACTCAAATTTGTATTTTTTTTTTACATGAAATAAAATTTTCAGACACTAAATGTTGAAACAGGGGAAGACCGGGGTAATCGAGACATTGATGCCAAAGAGTCGAACTGGTGAAAACAAACACCTAAGGAGTTGGAGTGGTAACTGGATAAAGATCTCCTGAGATGTCACATCACAGAAGAGTGTGTGTGGTCTGAAGATCCTTCACAGAAAAGCCAAAAATGGTCATTAAATACCACACTAATTATCAGTAGTAAAACGATGCACAAATATAAGATTTTTGATGATATTGGGAGTAATAAGCACATTTAAAAAAAAAACGAGAGTACGATACATATTAGAATAAGAGATATTAGTGTCACCCATATTACTTACAACGATTTTATAACCACCCCGACTAATACTGAAGTATAAAATATGTTATTTGATTTGGTTTTGAGTATACCTGCTTCAGAGTGTAGGTGAGTAGTTTCCATGGTGTCCATATACCAACCATTGTGATTAGGGTTGCTCAACGACATGGCATTAAAGAGCTCATGAAAAGATATGGCTTGGTCTGAGTGTTGGGAACGAGTAGTTGTGCTAAACCACTGCCATAATGGGAAGGGATAACGTTGATTTTGAGTAGTGGTAAAGGCTTGTTGACGTTCGATTGGCCCACTTTGACGTTGAGAAGGTTGTTCTACTGGAGAAGTCCATTGGTTTGAGTTCTTAGGCCAGTTGGAGCAAATATGGTGTTGGGTTGGTGTAGGAAGTAGGTCGACCTGCTAATGTTGTTGATAGGAGTCCATAGTAGCTAGCGGGTAAAAACCAAAACCGCATCTAGTGGGCAATTGATGGTTGCCATCACCATGTTGACTTGCAATGTTAAAGGATGACCGTCCACCACGACCACCGTACCTACCCACCACGTCTATCGTGACTATCTTCCCGGCCTCTACGACTCTCACCGCCGCGATTGGATGAGTGATTACTTGAGTTGCTAGTGACTAAAGCAGTTGGAGAAGAATCATTGGGATACGATAACGACCTGATGTGTCGACAATCGTGTTTAATTAGGCATTGTATTCCACTTCAAGCATAACATGAGTATCAAAGAATGAATGTAAGTATTTGGAGTGATGAATCTGACAAGCAATGTATCCAAACTTCCAAGGCCAAACCATTTTGTCGTGTAAATAACCTAGTTCTTTTTCGAAACTTCCACATCCAAATTATCCAAAGTATCAGCAATGGTTACCTACAAGATAAAATTTATCTTTGAAAGGCTTGGAGATTCAATCGATTGTATGCCTTATCTGTAATGATGGAGTGGAATCAGGAAATCATGTGTTTTTTTCTTGTTCTGTTGCTAAGGCGGTCATTCATAGAATATTGAGTGGTGGGGTTTGGAGGAACATGAAATCAACTCTACTATTGATTGGTCTGATTGGTATGGTAACATCAGACTGAGGAATAATTTGAAAGACATTCTGGAAGGGGTGTTCTTTGTTGCCTGGTGGTTTTTATGAATATTTCGAAATATGGTTGTTTTTGGTAAAGATATACCAAAAAAGAGTACTATTTTCGATAACATTGTTTCTCATTCTTATCTTTAGTGTTCTAATAGGTCTAAGTTGTCTATTAATTGGGTATTGTGGCTTCAAAACCCAACTATTTTGTTATTGTATTGGTTTAGACCTTTTTGTGCTAGCTCCTTGCTAGTTTTGTTTTTTTAATATATATTTCTGTTGTTTCTAAAAAAAAAGTATCAACAATGGTTTTTATTTTTGTGTAGTAAGCAACGACAATAGAATCATCCATGGTGATGGATCAAAGTTCAATATCTAATTGCATGGCTCAGGAGTCAGCGTTGGATCAAAACAAGGTCTCGAGTTAAGACCATAAATTGTGTGCATTGGAATTCCTTTTCAAGGACATTTGAAGTAGGAAGGTGACAACGTGTTATAAATCCAACTTTTGACAAAGGATTTTCCACGTTCCCGCTCCTCCATGTTAGAGGAGGTAGGGTCCTTCAGAGGTTAGAGATGATCGAAAACTCCAAACTCACAACAATAGGTCTCTAAAAGTTCCCTCCATGTGTCATAATTCATGTGATCATAATCCAAGATAAGAAGAAGTGAAGCACAAATGTTGGAGATCCCATATGGTTTTTCGCTAAGGGGAATACCTTTACTTGCATCTCCGATCATATTGATGATCAACTAGAATGAGATAAAGCAAGAAGAAGGACAAAAAAGAAGGTAGAGGAGGATGCTGACTTGATGGAGTTTGTTGGAGTGTTAGGTTCACCTCTTCTCAACAAGAAATGTGTCTTGCTTAGGAATGCCTTGATATACACCACACTCCCATTAAATTGGAAAGCTAGGAACATGTTAATGTTCAACAAAAAGAGAATTGCTCTCTTGGAGACAACATATGACATTCAATTTATTGTTTTTAATTGATATAACATATGTCCAATTCAGATGAATTAGATTGGTTAATATGAATTTCCTCTTCTTGACCTTTCTTTGTAAAAGTTGTCTCTAGTCTAGTGTTACGCTAGAGACTGTCACACCCCCAAACCAAGGATGGCGGAAACGTCTGGGGATGGAGGACTTCATGTACAGTATCACAACAACGTGTATAATAGTGCACAAAGTAAATACAACCATCATTAATATAATTGAAAAAGTTACACCAAAGTATATGTTTACATGTTTCAAAATCAATTACATTATGATGAAAAAAAATAAATTGTTGACGGTTTAACGTCCCATCCTCAAAGCGCTGAAGTTTTCCAGTTTCACTGATTTCCTAAGAATACAAATAGTTTTG